TCAGTCGCGCGGAAATAAAGAAAACCTCTACCTGTCGGGGAATCATTTTCGTGCATTACGGCGTACCATGACGCATTATGATGCATTATTATGCATCATGACGCATTAGGATGCGCTATTGCGAAGCGCTTTGTACGGGGGCGCGACGATGTCGGCCGCTAATACCATAAGTCATTCATTCGAAATTATATACAGGGTGGCAGCGGAATGTGCGCCGTGCTGTGTCCGAAGCGCGGACCGAGAGAGGGCTCTTTTCCTTCTGATTTCTAATTCATCCCAATATCCCACCCTCTCTTGCCCGCAGCCCTAATTTCCCCTGTGGGGAGAAGCGATGAGAACATTTGACTACGGTTTGGTCGATGAGGACGAGTGTGTGTCGCGCCTGTCTCGAAAATTAGAGTCACGAGAAATCGCTGTTAAATTAGTACCAGTCAGGGTGACAATTCGCACGGCGCCTCCTGGCTCGAGCGCTTCGTCGCGGCTTCTTCGATAATGCAGCGGCTAATGAGCTTCGGTGGAATTTCCAAGAAATACTTAGTCTAATCAATGACAATCGTGCGCGATAACGATCTCTCCCCGAGTGATATTCCGCGCGTTCCACGAATCGGTATTAAGTCTATCCTACATCTATGCAACAAACAAGCAACAGAAGGCCCGAGTGCCGTGAGAGTGCCGAGCACGTTCGGATCCGAGATAATCATGCTCGTTTGGCAGAGACGCGCGCTTCGACGCGTCAAGGCTGTCGATAATTACGCAAATCGTATTCGATAATCACCAGAGAGGTGAACACAGGAACCGACGGCGATATCTCTCCTTCTTTCTCTCTCTTTTCCTCTATCACGACGCGTGTACCTCGGGCTCTGTGCGTATACCACGCGACCTGTGTTCGCTTATAATTAATATCGCGACGACATCGGCGAACATCGAAGGCGCGAACTCGCGAGATTGTCGTCGCGGCGTGACAGCGGAAATATATCCTCCTGCGATGCAGCGTAGCGCGACGCTCAAGAGGTATGTTACCGTATACAGTACACCGAAACGCGTACACACAGGTAGAAAGGGAGAACAAGATCGAGCATACACTACAACTCCGTAGGAAAGAAGGGGAGTCGGCGCGTCCTCCCTCCGGAAACGACGCACGAAGGCTGATGTTAGCGCAGACTTTGCGTGCCGTCCCGTGCCGCGCATCAAACCGCGCATTATACCTCCTCGGCTGCTATGTTACGCGGCGTTGCCGCGGAAAGTATCCCTGAGACCCGCCGCTGTTGCGGACGCGAGCGAGAAATCGCTCCCTTTCTGTCGACGTTACGGCACCCGCGCGGCGGTCGTTCGATCAACGCGACGGAGCCACCGCCGCGTACGCGGTGATTATACGAGATACGTTGACATCGGATTCTGACACGACAACCTCTGACGTACACAACGATTGCATTTTTCTTTTTCCCTTTCTTTCTTCTCTTTTACACCGAGAACACGTCACAAGAAACATTTGCTTCGCATAATTTCAATTTCTTTCTCTCAGCGTTAAAATCGCGCACATGAGAAACCTATTCAGTTGATTCAAACAAAATTCTTACTTCGATACGAGGCGAATAAATATTTAGCTGTGAGAACGAAAATTTGCTTCTCTCAGTCGAACATTTTTCATTTTCGTTTCAGAGATACCAAACCGTTGGTTCTCACATCCAAAACATTTGCTTGTCCGTATCCAAACAAGAATTTTTCTTGAGTCTACTAAATGGCTTTCTCGGTGTGCGCAGATCAATTGTGCCGATTGTTAGCGGCGAAATAAGAAATCGTTCGCGATGTTACGATTTTTAATACTAGATATTTTTTTTACGTCACGCTGACGAGAAAAGGCTGTAAAATTATCCCCGTGGTCATGACGATTATTTACAGGACCGCGGTGAAGCGCGAAGGAAATCGTGCTACAACGCGCCACGTGTGCGTCACATCGTGCCGCCCCGCGTATACTATTAATTAATGAATCTCCTCCGAGGAAGGAACGACACGAAACGGAAGAGTGAAAGAGCTCGCTTCCTCCGCGGGTACCCAATTACCCCTTTTTCTCCTTCTCTTGTTCTCTCTCATTTTCTGCTCTTTTTCTTCTCTCTCTCTCTCTCTTTTTTTTTTATTTTATTTAGGCGACGCGATTAACCTGTCAAAACTTATAACGATCGGTGATAACATCGAGAATCAAGTACCCGTCGATAATTACGACCAATTAGCAACCGATTCGCAAGATCTCCCCCGCCGTTGCCATGACAAAAGCGGTATCCGCTTAAGAGACACTCTTTTATTAATCACTAATTACCGGCTAATAACTTTAATCAAACAGCTCATCGTTATAATGAACACCGATCTCGCGGTTCTCTTTCCCCTCCCTTTCTTTATCTCTCGTTCTTTCTCTTTCTATATTCAAGCGGCACATTTTGGAAACGAAACTCGTAGCGAAGGCGAGACTCGAAGACGCGGACACAGATCATGTCTGAGCGATCGTCGAGCGAGAAACACGAAAAGCGCGAGAGATCCCGAAATACGCGTCATCGACTAACGAATCGCGTCGTTCGACAATCAATTAACAGTTGATTGCTAATTGCGACGATCGTCGGACATTAGCTGGTCGGCGAAGTGTTTCGCCGTGTCTTACACGCGTGTCGTCCGACATCATCACGGCGTTATGGTTGCCGTGTCGCGTCACGGGGCCCTACGCGGGGCCGTCGTCACGGTGCGCGCGGGTCGTTATATTAATTTAGGGCTAGCGCTCATTAAAACCTAACGATAGCGCTCGTTATGCCCATCCGATAACGGTGCTGCGGCCGATTATTATTCACCGATTATATCGAGCAGCGTTTTGTTTCGCCTTCGTTACCGCAGCAGCAGCAGGCTGATTATTACAGGACTTCTCTTCTTGTCTTGTGCCCGCCCTCTCCCTCTTCTTCCCTGCCTGCATGCCTATCCGCCGTTTCGTCGTTGCTGTTTTTTCGGCGATGACTTTTTAATGCTCGGCGTGCGTGGCTCTAATTACCGTTGTGTGAAATCGTACCGGAATACGCGGCCGGTTTTTTCTCCGGTCTTTCCGCCGACGAGGAGGTAAACAGTTAATTCGGACGCGTTTCCTCTGGAGTACGGTGCTTTAATATGTTTGGGAATCGTTCTCCGTGGACGAAGGAAAGCGTGCTCGTAATTACGTCACGCGTCCCAAATTTCGACGGCGTGTCTCTTCGCGACGTCGCGTGCGTCTCGTTTTTCATTATCCGGATTAATCTCTTTTTTTTGCAAATTTCTTAATTTTGAAAAATTGAGCATTAATCGCGCGCGCGCGTGTTCTGGCGCTGGAATACTTAAAGGATCTATTCATAGAAGTGAAAATGTTAATTTTCACGAGAGGTCTTGATGTGCGAGATCGAAACGTAGAATTGATTTTGTTTTAGGTCAATCGCGAAATGCTTTTCTATTTAGTCGGCGACATCGTTAAATATGAGGATAATCATACGTCGGAGAGTCTGATTCTCGCGGAGAGGCAAATTCGTACCGTGGCCGGCGACGTTCGTCGCGCACCGGCGCCATGTCCTTCGCCCTCTCTTCGTGCGTCTCCATCCCGCATTCTGCCAGGACTAAGGCCGACGGCATTCCCGGGTTTAATAAGTGTCGCCTGAATGACGTGAATTAGTCCAATATGTCTGAGCCCTCCCCTCCCCCCCGGTAGCAACAATTCAGGGCCGCTGCATCGCGTAATTAAAATTACTCTGCGCGTCATACTTTACGTCGGAGAGACGTAGGCAGCCAGCCAGGCGGGTGTGAGCGCTGAAGAGGTAGAAAATGGGGATGTCGCGCTTGTATAGTATAGTAATTCAAGGCCTGATGAGGACCTCGATACGTCGCAGTAACAGCCTTCGAAAGATCGAAGTAAGCGCATCTATTACCGGCGAGAGAATATTTTACATGGCGATAGTAAAAATAACGATACACCGTACGGATACTCTGAAGCACAGAAGTCACCTTGGGTCGAGTTTCGCGTGTGCATCTTAATTAAATCGTAAACATTATAACCGAGCGTTGTTTAATTACCTAAAAGTTACAGATGCAGTAATTTCCTCGCGTATTTTAGCGTCTGCGACAGAACATGTAGAATCTATATATTCCGAGAGAGAGAGAGAGAGAGAGAGAGATCCCGTTTTCTAAATATTTACCGTAAACGCGCTCTTTGGATAATATCGCCGCCGTTACAAAATGAAGTTCGCCGGAAAACGAAGCACACAGGCGAGCGGCAGTAATGTTGCGGGCGGTTTCAAACGCGGTTAGTATTTTTAGCCAATTAGCGGAGCCAGTAAAGCGAAAACAAGCGCGTATAGCTCGCGGACATTTTCTAACAGGTAGGAGAGACTCGAGCATTACTCGGTCTTTCGGAGTGGTCCCTTCCTTCTTCAGAGAAGTACCTGGTCTCGTACGACTGTATGAGCTTTTCTTTCATCGCGTCCTTTAGCGAACGCCACCTCCCTCTCGTCCCTTCTAACCCCGGGGAAGAGCAGCGCTCTTGAGGGATGGCCTACTTTCGCTGTCGATATGCTAGCGCACGCGATTGCATTTCCGAACGCCGCTCGAAAACGATACGTGCGCGTCTACTAGTTTACCGAGCACGGTAGAACATACTTAATATAAAGCGACATCAAACGATATCGTAGAATGGTGAGAGAAAGGTAAAGAGCGAGGGAAGGACGGAACGTTATTATCGTAAAAAGAGACGGTGTGTATTTGAAGCTGGGGATCGTTTCAAACGTTGCTCTCTCATCGTGATCATTGAAAGAGAAAAAAAAAGCACACGGAGTGGATTATCGGAACTGCGATGTTTCACGAATATCTCGTTCTGATTAATTTCGCACGCATTTAAAGGGCATCAGGGCGCTCAAAGACGCTGGCTGCGCTTGCGAGAAATTATCTCCATATTGAGAAAATTATACCCGAATTATTACACCGATCATAAAGCTGGTAATATTTACCTTAACCGGAGAACTGCTCGCTGCGCTGCATTGCTCGATCTGGAAACAAAAGCGAACGAGATAGTATTAAATTCCACGTCATCTAATTGCTATTATTATAAGAGAATGTAGTAGACCGAAAAGAAAGGAAAAGATTGATACGTAAAAGAGACGGGATCGCGATCCGTTCGCCAAGCGAGCGAAGCAAACGCACTTTGGAGAGCTATACGATCTACGCTCGGAATCGAGCGCGCGACAACGCGCAAAAACGCGGTCGTCGAACCCGGGGAATTGGATTCGACACCTCACGCGAGTGCGAGGTCGTTTCTTTTTTTATCGTGGCAGGACGACGGACACAAAGCGAGACCAGGGCATTCACGTCCGCAAAATTCCTTACAGACGGAATTTGACGATCGCTGTGACTCCTCGCTCGTGTCGATATATCGCGACGAAGGAAGAATGTTTTCTCTCGCGTTCGACCCTCTCTCCCGTCGCCCTGCCAACCCCTGGTAGACCTCTTTCGGAAAGCCCCTCCATATTCGGCATTAGCGTGCAACGGCTGTTGGCGCGTGGCGGTGCTAATGAACTTCGGCGGCGTGTTACCTACGAGCACGTGGTGATTTCGTATGCGCGCATGGTGGCTCCCGCGGCGATTCCAGATGCCGGATAAACCGATTTCGGCAGCCGCCGACCGATCGTCACCGGATGTTTTTAAGGCCGGTATATTCATAGTCGGATCTCATACTTAAGACCGTCTTAAGTTTATCTTCAGATGTTTCATAGCCAGTGAAGTGAGCCATACAGTTGAAGATGAATTTAAGACGATCTTAAGTATAAGATCTGACTATGAACATCGGACTAAAAGATTCGTGTTAACAGTCGTTTGAAACTTGTCTTGTGAGATGTTCAGATTTTTATTTAGAATTAGACGTGAGTTTTTTCATTGAATTACGATTACAGCATAATGTCAGGTATTGCATATAATTTGACTGAAAAATTCAGATTTCGTCCTAAGGTTCCCGTTAATAGTCGTTATTTAAAACTCGATTTAGCATTCGGTGTATAATAATGTAATATATATGCGTTGTGTTTGTGCGTCCTGAAATCAGGTCGAAGTGACATCGGATAGCTCGACCGAAATTCTCGAGCAAAGGGGACAGCGCGATAACAGTGTTATTAATTAAATTCCGCACGTTCGTGACCAAACCGCGAGATGCATTCCTCAATCGATAAGCGGTGAATTAAACGTGGGCAGATAATCGACGACCCAGCGTCTCTATCAGATTGAGATCACGTCGGAGCTTTATCGCGCGGTCGAAATCCCGAAAGTCGCACGCACGCCTATCGCTCCCGACATTCATCCGACGTTTTATTACTTAGCGGATGCAATGTTGAGCGATAGCGATTCAAGATAAATACATTTATATGCCTCAGAAGACTATGTCAAATAAAAGATTCGAAAATGCACACTTACGATCAATGATTTCACTCTAAATGGATATTTCTTCGAATAATAAAAATAATATTAAAATAAAAAAATTGAATGTTTTTCATCGCGATATAACAAAGAGTTGATGACGCTACGAGGATCGCGTCAAGGGTCCTCCTCCGCCAAAAAATTACCGCGCCCGTAAAAACGAATCGACTCTGGAATCCGTCGTCGGGGCAAGCCTGCCATTATAATTTTCCGTTTAATAACGAATAACGATCGAGACATTTTCCGTTTCTTCAAAGGAAACTCGCGAGTGTACGAGATGCTGGTGGACGAGGGGATATCGTGTAAGACTGCAATTTCAGACAATCTTTGTACATGCGCGCGCACTCGGGATTCTTACGCCATATTTCGGGCGCATCGTTGGCAGACGTGACTCCCCTCAAAATCCCTTCGTAATCGAACGGGAATCCAAGAAGAGGACTCGAATAGTCGTCGGTACGTACCGACGTGGAATAACAATGAAGAGGGACAATAGTAATGGAATTATCTTCGGATAGTCGTTCTCCCATTGGCGGTACAAGCGGCGAGCCGAATCTCGAGTGCGTCTCTCCTCTCCAGGGACAGGCCACGGTTTCGGCGTGTCGTCGTCATTCGTCCGATGGCGCATGGCTAGGTGCTAATGAACTCTCCCCGTGAGTCACGTTTAAAAAAAGAGGAAAATAAAAAGACAAAGACCGGCGGCGGGAGAGAACGCGACCGGGTATCGCGGAAACGCGAGAATCCCGAGACCCGAAGTGCCGAGTTCGCAAATTAGCGGCGTTTCGACGCGTTCGCGTACTTTCCGTCTCCTCATCCTCCCTCTCTCTCGTTCTCTTTACGCTTCGTTTTTCCTTTTCGTTCTTTCCTTTTAAATGGAAGCGCGAGCACGAATATTCCGCGCGAGCGGCAAGAAATTCTTCTTCCGCCCCATGCGCTAATCCCTTTCCAAGGGATTCTTCGATGGAAGAAGTCTTTGAGTTTCGCGGGAAGTTTGCGGAAGTCGTATTTATGAGCTTCCACCGGGTTCCTGTTTACAGTCTGATCGCGGTTTCTCAGCGCGGAAAATTCTCCAATCGCGATGTAAATTTTCGTAGATTACAAGAATAACGCTATTTCGCGCGAATTAAGCGCGAACGAAGGAGGCAGCTGGAGAAGATTCAACATAATTATCGACTGAGAACAGCGACAATTAGAGAGAAAGAGAGAGAGAGAGAGAGAGAGAGATGAGTAAATCGCCGGGAATTAAATCACGTTGCAGAGATGCTCGCGTTTTTAATTTAAACGCGTCTTAAACGCTTTCCGTTTAAACGAACTTTAGCAAAAAATACAAAGCATGGTGAGAGAGTGAGAGAGAGGATTAGAAATAAATGGAGAGAGAAAGAGCGTTCTATGGGACATTAAAACACCGAAATATTGAAGAGTGGTGCGGGCAAAGAGAACACAGAGGAAAAAAAATGCCGAGCCGACGGAGGGGACGGCCGGACGCCGTCGAATGAAAAATAATCACTCGATCGACTCGAATTAAAGAGAATCCCTTGGTCGAACATCGATCTCACTTTGGTTACCACCCGTGGGCAGCCGATAGTAATTAATCAGGCCGCGCGGTGCACGCCGATAATTAGAGGTACCGATCGACGGGCAATTAATACGCCTCTTAACCGCGATCGGCGATCGATCATGGAAATGTTATTCCCGCGGGAGATGCGCCCGCTCGCTCGCGCGATCGTGTGAGTGAGCGGAAGGGTTGAAAACTCTCTCGCGGGTTACAGTGATAGCGGATTAGCATGCATTAAAGGCGGTCGAACTTCCGGTAATATCTCCTAATGTGTCGCGAGCACGATCGTGCGTAATTTACCGCGAAATTAAAAATTTAGGCCATGCTATTTGCCGGCCGCCGCTCGTAAACCGGCGTCATTTTCGTCGACGACGACGATGATGCGCGTTAGAGTATAGTTAAACGTCCGTGTAATTACTCGATTTATGAAACCGAAATTGGCTATAAATGCGATCTAAAAATATCGTCCATGTGTGATAATAAGTATTGTACCTCGGTATAAGCGCGTCTCTTTCTTTTCTGCTGTTCCTCATCCGGATATAAGTTTAATCACAGCCATGAATTTTTTACGGATTCGCTCGTTCCACGACGTTTCTATCGCGATTCTCAGAAGTCCATTCGACACGATTAATTTTTAACAACCGATCGCGGGAACAGACAGATTCCTTCTCGCAAAGTTTAGTCACCCAGGGCCGCAATCGTGCTCCGACAAATGAGAAAAAGACGGCGAAGGGAGAGTAGGAGTGGGCGAGAACCTCCGTTACGAGGAACTCGTGGCTGCATTTTCGTCGTCTCGCTAATTAAAAGAATTCAGAGTGGCGACCATAGAATTAGAAATACGAGGAACATCGCGTGCGCATCAAAGTGTAATTCCATTTTAATTCGAGTGTTACTTTGGAATAGTTTGCATAATTTCCCCGCGACCATCCGTGCCGTCTCTTTCCGCCCTTCGTCCTCGAGGGAAAGGGGGGTGAGAAAGAGAGAGAGAGAGAGAATAAAAATTTATCGAATATTAAAGTTGCTCGGGAACTCCTCGAGTCTCTTGATTCGGAAGAGAGATAGAAAGATAGATAGAGAGAGAAAGAGAGAGAACGCTCGCGCCGTTGAAATTGCTGGCAAAAAGTCTGTCGATCAAACTGTCGAACCCTTTTGAGAAGGACTATTAGCGGCTATATTTTTCCATCGATCTCCTCGTCCCGAGCTCTCCCCGAAGAGCTTCTTTCCAGAAATAGAAAGTCGAAAAGATTCCACCCCGAGCGACTGGGGGCTGTCCGACATTGTTTTCTGAAAAAATAACGGAAGCGTAGACGTTTCTGGCCCGCGTGTACGACGAAAGGAAACACCGAACATCTTTATCGTCGTCCCTCTCTCGCTACGAAGAGCTTCTCTCCCTCTTTCTTCGTTTCACGTTCTTTCCGCCTCTTTTTCTGGGCATGCACCTTCCTCTCTCGTGCATAACGCATCCGCCGGATTCTTCGCTCGCGAGTTCAAAAACCTTTCTGCGCGTGCGGCTTCCACGGAAATGGCTCCGTACCACCGATCGTAAGAAACGTCGAGTTCTTAAGTCGCACCGAAAATTAACTTTCGACCTCCCAGCGCAAATTCGAAGATATTTGTCGCCACTCTTACGAGACGTGTAATGCGCGAAAATAATTTAGACGCGTTATTGTTGCGACCGGTATAAAATTTTTTTATAATTTCTTTAACATTTGTACGTGTATGGTATAACGTCGCGTGTGTTGCATAAATTATATAGAACGACTTGTACACACAGTTTTATAAATAATTTATGTCAAAAGTATACCGCACACGAATGACAGACACGCTTTGTGGCGCGCGAGAGACAGACGTTCGCGTCGGATACATTTTTACACATCGATCGCGAATAAATCGGACGTATTTTATGAGGTAGTGGAATTCTTCGCGGAACGTCCGAAGTGGAACATACACCTGATTCCACGGTAATTCGTTACTCTGACAGTTTAAGGGCGAGCTATTTCTGTTTCGATATCACGTCCGCATACGATATTT